GTGTAGAGTGGAGGAGGATTTCAAGACAATCTTTTAGTCCAATGCAATAGTAATACTCGACGCTGTTTTTGTTCTTTGTAACCATAATTATTATGTCTGATTACGATCGTTAATGAGGTATTTTGACCGTTCGCTTGCACTTGGACCATCCTGTTTAGTGATGCTAATAATATTATGCTTTCTCCTTATTTGACTACCAGAGATAGATTTCATTGCCTTTAGCTTATTATTCTCGAACGAGTTTCCTAACCGAACAATAGTGTGTTTTTGGTTGTATTCATCATTGTTCTATTGATACAACTAATTTTGTCAACCCCTTTTTTTGTATAGCACGTACCTACGAGGTCTTTCACCACTATGTTCAGGGGTCTTCGATGAATACTGATACATATATTATAATATGTGTGATGATTGACTCACGAGTCGAGTGAATGTGAATGCGTATTTCCTGCTATAGAATGGCTCTTTCTGATTAATCTTTGTCTGAATTTGACTCCAAGCTTGACCCATAGTAAGTCAGTCGGTCAGAAAGTAAGCAATAGGTCCAAGCTCAGGACATTTCAGTTCTTGGCTGGATCTGTTGATCTTTCATGGGCTAGTGACAACTGCAGTTTTACGATAGGACATACAGTACGTCTGATGTTGAAAACCATCTTTTTGATGGGGTTTACTACATTAAAGACGAAAGTTGGAAGGGTTCCTTCAAAATGCGGATTCTCAACGACTTTGTGTAGGCGTGTGTATGTGAGTGTGTGTGTGTGTGTGTGTGTGTGTGAGAGAGAGAGAGAGAGAGAGAGGTGGGTGTAAGTTCTAAGCGTTTTATTGTGGACGTATCGTTGCGAAAGGATTTTCGAAATTTGCTTTGCTAATGTATTTTTTTTTAACATTTTAAAATATTTAATTTTTGTTTCTAAAGAAAAACTACCTCTTGGTCGTTTTTGTTCTTTGAATGAAGCGATGACTGCGAACGAGGATGACTGTTCTCCTATAAAAGGAATGCATTTATGTAACTGAACCAACTTTGTGTAAATTAAAATAGGAATGTATTGGAGGGTAGCACTCCGTGCTTCGGCTGCAATTATAACAGTATGCTTACAGTGCTGTGTGCGTGTGTGTGATTGCGTATGTGTATGTGTGTGTTTATCTGTGTACAGAGAATTGTCAGTTTGTGTGTGTGTGTTCGTGTGTGTGTGTATATATATGTGTGTGTGTATGTGTGTGTGTGTGTGTGTGTGTGTGTGTGTGTGTGTGTGCGTGCGCGCGCTTAATTTGAGGGCATATATGCTTGTATATGCATATCTGAGTGTATACATCTGACTATAAGTGTTTATTTGAGTATTTTGTGTAAGTCTATGGTAAAACAACCCCAAACTTTTACGTAACGTACACCTAAACGTTTGACAGCACCAAGCCTACTCAGCATCATTGTCTAACTGCTTTACCTTAATGACTTAAAACAATTTTCTCTAGTTCATATCTAATCAAACACAGAGTGGTAGGTTAGATCTGAATAAACTGCTATTACACAAGGCCTTACATTTTTATGCTTCTAAGAACATCACCCTGCCTGTAAATACTGTGTAATACATAAATAAATCAAATTCCCATTACTTCTTTTACATTGGCTGTTAAAGCCACCCTGAAAGCGTATTTTTTAATGAACCGATTCTTCAGTTTTATGAGTGGTATTTATAGAGTGAGTTGCTTGATTTCTAGCAATCATTAGTTATTTTGATTAATTTATTACATTTATTCTTCAGATCACCTTCACCATACAACAAGAACGAAATGCCTGTTTTGCTTGTAGTATGAAAAGACCTTACGTATGTTAATAGGACATGACTTTTGTAACATAAGCTTAAAACGACACTATTTGATAATAAAAAGTAAAGTTGAAAATCTTTGTCCTTGTCTCGTTTTTCTTTGATGGTTTCAAGAATGTTCTATGATCATCGTCATCATCCTTGTTAAGAAAGCACAGTAGGAGGGAGAGTGTTGATTAATTTGCAGACAGAATAATATGAAATTATGAAATGTTTAAAATTTGTTTAATAGAGACAGCTCAACGTTTCGCTTCTTCATCATCATCATCATCATCATCATCATCATCATCATCATCATCATCATCATCATCATCATCATCATCATCATCATCATCATCAACATCTCATCACCATTTTTGATATCGTATTGAAAATGCTCAATTTCTCACCCTGTTCGACCTTTATCAAAAACGAATAGCAAGAAAAAGAGAAGAAAAAACAAGAACAACATCATCATCTTAGTAACAGAGACGTTCTCTTACAACACATGCGAAATGGGAGCTACTATAAAAATATACCGGGTATCCAGATTGGGAAAGTGGTTATTCGACTCTCGGACTTCCAAAGTATAAGGTCGTACCATAGGTTCAGATTTCTTCAAGAACCCTACACTGTGTCCTTGGAATTTACACAAATTTTCCTCACTTCACCCAGGTAGGAATGGTTATTCAGCTGAAGGCAATAAGGATTTTTGTCAGTTTGTTAGTGTTTTAGCGCCTATAAAATAGCAGTTTGCGCTGTATGCTTCCCAGGAAGTTGAGATAGTTTCAGAATACCATCAAGTAGAAATTATTATAAAGCGCACAGAGCTTGCTGTTGAGCCGGAATTTGCACTACACAAATGCTATTGATAATAATAATGATGATGATGATGATGATGATGATGATGATGATGATGATGATTTTGTTGTTGTTGTTGTTGTTGTTGTTGTTGTTGTTGTTGTTGTTGTTCTCTGTGGAGATGGTGACCAAAATCAAGATATCTCCGTTTTTCTGCTTTGATACCTGTATCCCACTCTGAGGTG